GGAGAGGAGGCCCTTGAGGACGAGGGGCTGGACGCCGTCGAAGTGGGGGACGCGGACGGTGGCGCCGCCACCGTCGGGGTCGGGGCCGTCGCGGGGGATGCTGGAGAGGAGGACGTTCTCGGTGGTGGTGTCGCGGAAGGAGAGGCGGTCGACGACGCGGGAGAAGAGCTCGAGGACCTGGCGGTAGACGTGGACGAAGTCGGTGTGCATCATGGCGACACAGCCCCAGAAGAGCTGAGGGTAGAGGATCACCTTCTCTGGCTCCATGTTCTCCACCATCACCTGCAGCAGCAGCCAGATAGGGTTGTGAACGAATCGAATCAAAAGCGAATGTTAAGATATTGGATTCGGATTCGTTAAAATATTAGAGGATTCGAATTCGTATTCGATTTGTGAACGAACTTATGTTTTGATTCGTATTCGGCTCGTTAAGAATATTCGAACATGTTCGATTCGATTCAAAATTCGTTTTCAGAAAAATATTATTATTAAAAAAAAATATTATAATTACACAAATATTGTTTATGTTTTTCTTATTTAATTTGAGATGTTTTTAGGGCAAATTGTTAAAATGGGATGTTTTTACTTTTTATGTCATAAAAATATTATGAATATAAATATATTATAAATAAAATTTATACTATATATAATTTATAAAATTTATATAATTATTGTTAACGAATCGAATATCATAATTTCGAATCGAATATCTACAAATTCGAATTCAAATCACGAATATCGAATTCGAACATCGACTCGAATAAAAAAATTCGATTTATTTACAAGCCTACCTGGAGAGTGAGCAGGATCTCCATAATGAACCCCAGGACGGAAGGGATGGGGTTTCCGAGGCACCGATGAAGGCAGCGAAGGAGAGACACGCACGCGTCGTTCGTGACGCGTGGTCGAAGCGCGCGGTATATCTGGTGGGACCGGCACGCAAGGTGTCTGGACGTGCACTCCATGGCCCACTTGAGGGCCTCGGCGCCCCATCTCTCTCTAAGGTCGCCCTGGAAGAAGATGGCGTCGACCATGCTCTGGACGAGAGCGGATAAAAGGGCAGCGCTCGGGAGTTCGGTTCTCACAACAGTGGGGTCCTCGTTTTCCCACATCATGTTCCCCCGTTTGGATTGCACGTACTTGATCAGGCTCACAACCTGCTGCTTGTTCTCCCCCTCGCTGTTCTCGACGTCGTACAGTTCCAGGTGCCGACCAGCAAGCGAGTAGAGAAGATTGACGAGCAGGTGCTGGCAGTGCTGGAGCACGATGTCCTCCGAGCTGTCCATGGAGACGAACGTCACGTGGAAGAGCAGAGGCAGATGCTCCCGGAAATCCTCGTCGTTCTCGTACGCGATCTCCGCTAGAAGAATCAACGCGATGTCGGCTTGCGTCAACATGTGCTGCTGATGACCCTGTAATGCCGACTGGAGTTCTTTAGCGTTCACACCATGCGCCCCCGCCCCAGTGTGCAATAAAATGTCCTCGCCGGAATTTGGGGTGTCGATGAGGTAATCTCCGCTGTCACGCGACATGTGGCGGCTCCGTAAGCTTCCCGTTGAGCTCCTCACACCTATTAGTGGGCCCGACATGTTGACCAGTGAAGGCATGAGTTGGCCCGAGCGGCCGGCGCTAACGGGAACAATGTTGAGCTCCGGGGCCATAGGGGTTAAAGGGCCGGAAGCACTCCGCCCGCCGACGGCGGACGTTCGCCAGCTCAGGCTTCCACTGGCATTCCTTAGCGGGCCGTCTAGCGACCCGCGGACAAGAAGAGGCGACATGTGTGGAGGTTGGGTGTCCACTACAGATGAGATTTGATTTGTGGCAGGGGTTTGGGAAAATTCTAAGACGCCTCCTCCTAGAGAGTCGCCTTTGTTATTAGCGACTGTGGCTCTTAGTGGTTCGACTGTATCTTCAAGCATGCGTTGAGCCAATTGGTAAACGAGGTGGTCGATGGTTCTCTGCGGGCAAATCCGAGCTAAATACAAACTGACCCTCTTTGCAACTGAGAAGTAGGTGGCGAATGCTCCGCTTATTTCCGCCGAAGCATTCGAATCGCAATCCTCGATTCCCTTTGTGATCAGGAAATCAAGGACGGGACTTATGTTCCTTGGCTTGCTAGCGATCGTGCTCCATAACTTCTCGATTTCATCTGGGAATTGGTCGCCGTGGCGCCACGTGACATAGTAAAGGCTCTTTAGTAACCTTTCGCTCCATCCCGAGTCTTTTAATTTCCAAAAGTTGAGATTTTCGATCCAAGGAGCCATGCAGGTCAACACTTGGTGCTGAGCAATTATGTCCACTGCATCGAGTTGCCTTTGCATGATCTCCTCACAGAGAAGCTGGCTCAATTCTGGGTGGTCTTTGGCGAGTTTGCAAGAGAGTTTGTATTGAAACTGTTGGTAAGAGTCAGGAAGGTTGCCGACGACAGCAGCTCGGTAGCTTCCCGAGGACTCGACTCCATCCTCGGACCATTCTCGAAGGGAGAGAGTCTCGAGCATCTGAAGGGCATCATCACGGATTTGTCTGGATGGGTCCACCACTTTGTAGAGGATGAGGCTCAGTAGCCTCTGGATTTCGCATTTTGGTATCTCTTGACGCATGTAAACCTCAGCCAGAACGCTGAAGTAGCCATCAGCGATTGCGGCATCTGAATAATAACACTGCACAAGTTCACGGGTTTATGACTTATGAGTGATTTTTAGAGAAATAATGAACAGCTAGAAATAAAGAACATAGATACTGAGAAAATAAGTGAGCAAAATACATCAAAAAATATGTGCAGAAAA